GTCATCTTGTCTTGGTTTTGCAGGAGTTTGAAGATCCGAGGGATGCAGATGATGCTGTTTATGAATTGGATGGAAAAGAACTTTGCAGTGAGAGGTGAGGTATCCTATTTCATGACTATACAAGCTTGGGGATCTAAAATAGAAGTCAACTTCAATTTGAATTGTGTTGTCAGTATTGGTTAAACTACTTTGTTTTTGTTTGGTTCATCTTATGTTTGTCCTGAGAATTACAACTGTATACAAAAGAAGAAACGTGTAAAAACATGTGTTACGTTATGTGTTTCCCTTCACAGGGTGACCATTGAGCATGCCAGAGCACGCTCGAGGGGCAGAGGCAGAGGGAGGTACTCTGACCGGTTCAGTAGCCGCCGCCCGCGCAGTGACAGGAGGTACGTGCAGCTTTGAACCAGTACAGTTTAAAAAAATAATGCTTCAGGCTCATCCCAGAGAATGTGAGCTGCAATGAGCTATTCAAAGGTGTTGTTTGCCTTTTAAGTAGTGTAGTGTGGCAGAAGGATAGTGAAGATTACAGAACTTCTCAGATATACTTGTAATCCTTACATTCCCTAAGTACTTAATGCTTGCCCTAGATTGTTCTGGGCACTACGTAGTTCAGGTCATAGTACTGAAGATGATATGCTGATACTAGCTCTTGGTACAGCCCTTGTTAATATTAATGTGGTTATATTATTTACTGATAGAAGTCTGAATTGTTTGTTTCAAAACAGAAACGCCCCACCTCTAAGAACAGAAAATCGCCTCATAGTGGAAAATTTGTCTTCCCGCGTCAGCTGGCAGGTTTGTTGAAACATGATTAACTATTTTGACTTCATTTAATGGGTATGTTATGTAATGTAATTATTTTGTAAAATAATTAATTAAATTAAAACATAATTTATTAAAATGTTTTATATAATTATTATGATTTTTAGTAATGTAACTTAAATATTTTGAATGAAAGCTAGTTAATGTTAATTCATAGTAATAATAAATTTATATGTTTGAGGATATATATTTTTTTTTCTTGTTTTTAAAATCCATTTTAACCACATATTAAACCCTTTATTTGCCAGCCTATCTGTGTCGTTGGCCTTATGACGAGGAGTGCCTGTGGGTTATCCTAATCGTTCTGTCTTGGTCACTCTTGGTCGGGCCTGGTTGACTTTCCAGTCAGCTCCTACAATGTCACTTGGCCACCTCTAGATCTGTGTTTGCCGGTCTAGACGTAATCGATGCACTCCTTAAAGTGCCACATTGCAGCGGTCCCAGAGCGTTAACGAGATCTGATTCCTAAGTTGAGAGCTGTTCTTCCTGTAACGCTTCCGAATAACGAGGTCCTGGTCGAAAAGAGTTGAAAGATTGGAAATTAGGTGGTCGTTGGAATCCTGATCGCAGTAAAGTGGTCCTTGGTGACATCAAGCATAGAGAATGGATCCATCCATAGTCTCCTGATAGGGAGGGCAGTGCGATTAATGGCTTCCATCGACTGGGTAGTGTTCGGCAAGTGGGTGGCGAAGAGCCAGTCGGGCATATGTCATGACGGTATCTCCGGTCGCTTAATGCAGTTTGCTGCTTGGCTAGCCTAGGGAAATGTTTATAAAGGTAAAGTAAACTATATTTTTAATGACATATGGGGCACAAAATAATTGGTGTTATGTAAATGTAATTTTGTATTCATGTAAGACTTGTAATGTAAATGGAGACTGAAATAGTCCAAAAATATATGAGTAGTATTTCAAAGTCAATTAAGTAGATATAAAAATGTGCTTTTTATTTCTTTTTTCTCTCTCTTTCTTTCTCTTTGTTATTTAATCTATAAAATCATTTTAGACTAATATTTACCTTAATGTTAAGACCCTTTATTAGCATTTTGCTTAAAGCAATATGCTTTTCTCATTTATTTCGTGCCCTGATACAGATCATGATACAGATAATGCAGTTTTGATTACAAGTATGGCAGTTGCCATGTTTGTGATTTATCTAACAACTTCTCTTTCAGTAGTCATAAATTTCTTTTGTTTGCTTTAAACTACTTTTGTATAAGCAAATGTTAATTTCACTTCTTTGGGTAACAAAAGTGGTCTTGTGTTAGGATCTCAAAGACTTCATGAGGCAAGCCGGGGAAGTAACCTTTGCAGATGCACACAGACCTAAGTTAAATGAAGGGTAAGCCTGTCAAGTGATCTCTTGAAAGCTGTAGAGTAACCTGTATATGTAATATTTGGGGAGGGAAGCTGGCTACTTTTAGTGTCAGCAGCTGTTTGTAGCTTAATTTAGCTATGCTTTGAAAATGCATGTGGGAAATGTTTGGGGAGGGGAATTTTTCATGCTTCAGTGATGACAAGGGATAATTACACTGAGCAGTGTATGTTTTGGGGTTTTTTTTGTTTGGTTTTTTCCTTGTATAAATGTTGCTTGTATTGGTAATTACAACTTGTAACAGTGAGCTTTATATTTGGTTTTTTTTTTCCATAGGGTGGTTGAATTTGCCTCTTACAGTGATTTAAAGAATGCTATTGAAAAGCTTTCTGGTAAAGAAATTAACGGAAGGAAAATCAAACTAATTGAAGGCAGCAAAAGGCACAGGTATGGATTTCTACTCTTTTAATAATGCTTAAACATTGACTGAGAAACCTTGGAGTCAGTGACCAGGCAGCCGAGCTGGAGAGCTGTGGAGTGCCTGGTTGGGGCCAGGGCCCGTGGGGTTCTGCAGCTGGCACTGACTGGCACTCCCTGTTGGCTCCTCAGTAGGTCCCGGAGCAGATCCCGGTCACGCAGCAGGAGCTCATCCGGGTCTCGCAGCCGCTCTCGCTCCCGCAGCCGCAAGTCCTACAGCAGGTCACGGAGCAGGAGCCGCAGCAAGTCACGATCAGTTAGCAGATCTCCACTGCCCAGCAAGAGCCAGAAACGTGGTTCTTCCAGCAGATCCAAATCTCCATCATCCGTAGACCGACAGAGGTCTAGATCAAGGTCCAGATCTGTTGACAGTGGCAATTGAACTATAAATAACTTGCCCTGGGGGCCCTTTTTTAAACCATACTTGCTAAAACTTGTGGTAAGTATGTGACTTTCTGTGGGAAAGGGTTTGGATAGGGAGAGGGGAGGGAAGGGGAACTTTGTAGATGTGGACCATGGTGGGAAGGGTTATTGACTAATTGTATTAAATGTTTTTTGATAACCCTTTTCTTGATCACATTTTTTGTGAATGTCTGAAGTGTATAGTTTGTGTATATTGGCAGAGCTCTTTATAACTAAAGCAAACAAATTTTTTTGTACTCTAAAGTCATCTGAACACTTAATTCTCAGCATATTCAACTGTGAATAGTGACTAAAAACATTAATGTCTCAGACTAATAGCTGTAGACATCTAAGAGAGCTCTCTATGTGCTGTACATAAAGCTTTATTTCAGAGGGTATTTTTTTTGTGCTTTTGAGACAGTGTTTCAGCTATAGGTCAGCAGGTTAACTGCTGGTCGGTACTGGTAATAAAACTTTATTTTAAAATATTTTCATTTAATATGACTTGCACTACACTAAGAAAATGCCCATCTCACTGCCCTGTGGTAATAATATTCTATAAAGCACTCTTATTTCTTGATACCTAAGAATAAAATAGTTCAAATAAAGTATAAAGAAACATTTCTGTTTCTAGTTTGTTTCTTGGTGTTAATAAAGTGGTTAAAATGTTAAAATGTTTCTTAAAGATGGATCTGTGCCAAAGTGATAACTGTTTTGGGCAGGGGTGAGAATTAGCATCTGTTTAAATGCATCGTGTGATGTCCTTGTATGTCTCTGTGTTCTGAAGTAAGAGCATGGATAATCAGGCTGTCATGTTTCATAGCAAAAAGTGGAGTGGATGAGTCATTTATCTTTTAATGACTTGGGATAATAAGTGTGGAGTGTTAAAGGCAGATGTAGTCAGGATACTTCATAGTGTATTTATGCATGTTGGTATGAGAACACTGAAGTGTAGATAAACCATTTTTGAAAGCATTAGTCCTCATTCTGGGGGAAGAGGGACTTTTAAATTGATGGGTGGGACTAATGCTGCAGTAGTACCATCAGGTTCTGTGTTTTAGTGTTTGTGCCTTCCAGTGGCAGCAGTCCTCTGCAATCCCTGTGTTTCTCAAGCCCTCACCCACAAGAGAACTTAAAATTTTAATTTTTAAAATAGGGTGTTTTCTTATAAAGTGCTTTACAAAGCTATTATAGTAATCTGTAGAAACCTTTAAAAAGATCTTTGTAGCCTAGGCTCGGATTTGGATAGATCATAGGAAGTGCAAGGTGGTTTCTCTAGGAGCAAGGTCTGGCCTTGTGGGAGGTTGGATGTTTGGCCTCTGCAGCCCTGCTGCCCTTTCTCCCTGCTGCTGCAGAGTTCTTGGGTGCCAAGCTAAGGAAGGAGGAAGGAGGAGCTCTTGTACTGCATGGGTCTGTCTGTTGAGCTGTCTGTGTGTTGTGCTGCCCAGCACTCCTGAGAGCAGGTGTTGAGAGGGGGTGGCGTCCACAGTTAACTGGTTGTTTCCAGTCAGCTCTGGGGAATGGGAGGTTTCATTCTCAGACCTTAGTGGTGCAGAGGCTCACTCCAAGAGCTGTGTAGCAAGGGGGCTCTCACTTGCAGGGGTAAGACAGCATTCACACTCCTCAGGTGGAAGGCCAACTGTGTAGAGGTTTTTAGTCAGTTGATCCTATTATCTTAGAGATGGTGGGCATCTGTGTCCCAGTGGGACTTGGCTTCAGCTGGAACCCAGGTGGCTGAAGACACTTGATTTGATGAAAGGGGTCACAGATTTCTTTCAGGCTAGATGTGAAGTATTATCTGCTCTATAAATAGTTGTTCTAAATTCTGTTTCTAGACTTGCACAAGCAGCATAAGCAAGTGCCTGCATTTTCCCTGGGGAGCTGGCTGTTCTCATGATGAGCTTCCTGTTAAACTCCCAGGCTTTGCAGTATGGAAGCTTATGTTCATTTCTGGTGTAAAAAATTACACTGTTTATTTAGTGTAGGTTCTTGGTACAAACCAGTTTATTCCTAATTAAGATGAACTACTTTGGGTTACAAGGCGTAGTCTGGACATTAGAGATGTAGATGCCAATCTTTCCTGGTACTCTGTTCTGTGACCATACCTAGGTGGTGTCTAGAACAGGTGTGGTGTTGAGTTCACTGACGGCTACAAAAGAAGGCACATTTAAGATTCATCTGATATTGGAGGTACAGCTTGCTGGGCCCAAACTCAGCATACAAAGGCAGTTTGTGTAGCCATGATCCTGGTTTGTGTGGCCTCTGCTGTGGGGGATCAGTGGTACCACACAGTACCTGCTGGAGCATGGGAGAAACTAACAGCCCGTGGGCTCCTTGCCTGTGAATTCAATCTCACGGGCTTCTGCCAGTGGAGAAACTTTCACAGCTCATTCTGGGTCTGTTAGAGAAATTACATTAACCTGCAGTGATATTGTCAGGATCTGCTTCTATTATGTTCCAGCAGGACAGTTAAGGTAAGTGAAATTAAGAAAGGGAACTGATGTAGGCAATGATTTTCTTACAGGTAAAACTGGGACAGTCACTTGGCATGTTTTTCAGCTGTCCCAAAGGGTTGTCACAATGACTTTGAAGTCTCTGAAGGTCTCCTCCTTTCTGGGCTGACAGAGCAAGGCTTAGTCTGGAGCGAGGTCTTTGCAGGAGTAAGTGTGGGTGCAGATGGCTCTGTGGCTGCCGAAGTGAGTGTATAGGTAAGTTTGACAGAACAGCTGGAGACCTATGAGCTGGCTGCAGAAGGTAGAGCTTGGAGGGTTTGGAGGGTTGTGAGAGCAACTGCTGCAGAATCCATATATTGCTTTCCTGGTTTTCCACTGTTTCTGCAATGTCTTGACACTGATTTCATTTCTTCAGCGCTAAATGTGTCCACACTTGCAGAGATAATTTTTGCTGCATCTGAAGAAAGAGAAAAATGTGAGAATATGCAATTCTGAAACCAGGTTAGGGAATGATTGTGCCAGCTACAACTGGAATTACTGGGTTATTTAAAACAAGAGGAAGAAACTTGGGATTCCTGCTGAAAAGACTGAAGCCATTTTGTTTCCAGCCGTTTATGACCTGGGGGCTGGAATACATAGTTTTTGTTATAGTCTTGCCAGCCCCTGCATGTCTATTTCCAGTATCAACTGTTTTGCTTTGAACACACACCCAAGGATCCAAAGGAGTGTGTTTTCCCCCCTCATTAAGTTATCCTCCAGCATAGCTATAAGATGGGTGAAGTGATCCTGAAGCAGCTCTGTAGTAGCTACTCTGCTGCATCTGTCTCTAGGCAGTGGAGAAAAGCTGGAGTGGCATCATCGGAGTGGTGGGTGGTGGATCTCATTCAGCAATCTGTGCAGTCAGCTGAGCTTGGAATTAGGGACCTGCTGGAGTTGGAGGAGAGTCTATTTCACATCTGTACCAATATTGTATATATTTTAAAAGGAAGTTTCAATCTCTTAATATACTTTTCTAGCAAAAGACCTAAATGTTTTGTTCCGTTGGCCATCGTATTCAGCAGTTCTGTCCTCTCAGGGAATCACTTAGCAGCTTAAAGCAAAGCCGGGATTTGTTGCATTAAAGAATATGTAATGTTTTTGTGTAGTTTTAGCCACACACGAACACCTCTGTTCTTTCCATGTGCTCAGGGCAAGTAATGACTTTCACAGGGTGTCCACTGTAGCTTAAAGCACCAGCCTGAAAAAACCTGAGCACTGATAGTTTTGGTAGTATGTAGCTGTATGAAACATCCTGCTGATGCAAGAGGTCCATGGAATTTCTAAGGTCTTCAGTTACCTCTGAATTTTTGATTCTGATTTGAATTTAATGTGCTGGCTATGTAAACCCTAGTTAAAGAGCAACTGCCTTTATAAAGCAGCGATGCATCGGTAGTTACATTGTTAATATGTAGGACTTAATGTGGAAAGTAGAAGAAATAAAGGAGCAAAGCTGTACTTGCCATTGGCTTTCTTTTTTCTATCATGAATCCGAAAGACCAAGATGATCAGAAATCCTTCTCCAAGCTGGAACAGCAAGTAGAGTAATGGGAAGAAGTACAGGGGGCCAATGATCTCTGGGGTGAAGGTGACCTTGAGGATAGCTGAGCAAAGCTGTACATTCTGGCAGCCAGTTTCCATGCACACTGTCCGCCTGCACCTGAAGGAGAAAAAGTTGAATAATTACATATTTAAACTGCTTTCAAACAACTGAAACAGAGCCCTGCTCACCTTGCTGGTGCACTTACCTGTGGCTAAAAGCTGCTCTGTCAGGAACAATACTGCAATCCCTAGAAGGTTTTGCCTCCTGCTCCATTTGCAATGAGCAGAGACAGACTGTGTTACAAATGTCAACTTTGTTCATAATGGTATCCCAGGCCTCATCTCCTCTGGACTCTGCAGCTTCCTGCAGGGAAGTAATCTCCTGAGGTGGTCAGAGTCCTACATATGAAGGCATAAAATAGGACTAGGAGGATTCCTACCTGGTTTATGTAGGATAAGGAAAAAAGGAGGAGCAGGTTTTATATGTCAGGTTTTCATTCTAAATTCCTGGGGCTGCAGCTGAGAATGCACTGACTGATCTGAGGTAGTAATTAGCTGGGGAGTAATCGTGTCACTTAGGGTTTGAGCTCTGTTGATATTTCTCAGTTTTTTTGGGTTTGGGTTTTTTCTGGTGCTAATAATTTTTTCCCCACAGCTTCATTACCAAGAGCAGAGGGTGATAATATATTTATTTAGCAGGTCACTAGTGACCTTAAACTAAAACCCTCCATCTACTTGTTCAGTGAACCTTCCATGGTGATCAGGTGCCTGTGCCAAAAACACCTGCTTAGCTATTCCTCCCCTCTCATTTAAGCCAAGCAGAGGTTAAAGTAATTTCTCTTCCCACTCAAGCTGTGGGAGTCACTGGCTTGGGACCAGCTTGTACTGTGTCTGGTTGTATTCCTAGATCCTATTTCAGGTGGAGTCAGTGTTCTACAGAAGTATATTACTAAAATTCCTATTTTCATCATTGCTCTGCAAAGCAGAGCTGCCAAACCTCTCTGTTCCTGATGAGAGAGAGGGGAGGGACGTGTGGAAGAGCATACCGATCATCAAGCTTGAAGGCTGCAGAGACAGCGTAGCCCAGCAGGAATCCAGTAAGGGGCATTAAGGCAGAAGTCCCCAGGAGAGATGGTGAGAAGACAACCATGATACAGCTTCCCATATTGGCCACAGACAGAACAATTATTGCAGCAGATGACAATAGAAGCATAACCATCCCTGCCTAAAAAGTGATTGACAAGAGAGAAATCCCCATTAAAATTTTCCTCAGCTGTTAGAAACAGCTGTACCCAGTTCTCTCTCCATCATGTGAAGTACACAGAGAGCATAAGTGCCTTTTATGGACAAAAATGTTATCAGTAATCAATAAGAGACCATCCTCAGCTAGTACCGAAAGAGACCTTAAATTAACCAAATACCTTTCTAGTCTGTATGCAAAATGAGTGCTCTTGCTGCACAAGCTGCTTGTTTCTCAGGCATTGCTACTTGTCTCTGTCCAGGTCCCTTTGTGGCTCTAGTCTACCCTAAGCAGGTGCTGAGGAAACCACTTTACTCACAGGTAGAGCCTATCAGAGTTCTTGAGTTAGACAATGGTGCATCTGGTTGTCTGGATTTCTGTTTTGCTGTTTAAATGCCTGATGTATAAAGGAGGCGGGGACATGATTCCAGGCAGAAGTGGGCACTTGGTGATACAATGGCTTCTGTTGGATAGGAATCTCAATGCCTTAAGCAGCAATTTTGTGATTCAATTTTTGCCTCCTAGACCTCTGAGAGTACCGGGGTGATTTTAATTTGGCTTGGGATGGTTATTGTTGTTTGGTTGGTTTTTATCTGAGTTCTGCTTTGGTAGCACCAGTAATTTGGGGCAGTGCCTATGAGGTTCATTAGTGCTGATGTCACAAAATATTTCCAAAGTTAAGACTGAAGCAAAAGGAGAGCAATATAGGAAGTTGGCTACAAAATGTCTGCCTGGAAAAGATGGAGGACTTTTCCTTGGGCAAATATTTTAACCATTAAAGTGGTGAAGTGGGTGTCTTGATCTCTAGCCTAGACCCTTTCATTGATTTGTGGCATGTCTTAGAGAAGTTAATATGTCTGTGATTCTATTTTTGAAAACTTCCTCAAAGCCCTTGATTGAAAGGCAACTAGCACAGGATACTTCTTACCTTGGTGATAAGGCCAGTGTACTGTGGTTTCTTCTCATTCAAGATGATGCCGATGGCACAGGGGATTAGCATCAGCACCAGGGAGGTGATAATTCCTTTGTAAGGTACCTTGCCCTCCAAATCATCCTCATATAGTCCTCCCGAGTAAAGGTAGAGAAGCAGTGGCATTAATCCAATGGCCAGGACCATGGAGCATGCAGTCATTACAACACTGAGATGAAGAAAGGACCCCTCAGTAGAAGAACAACACTTTTAAAAAATGGAGTATGCAAATCTGATTACTTGCCTGGACATATGATTTTAGTAGAAGTCTTTACCTTGCTTTTCCCCAACTTGTCACTGAGATCTCCCCAACATCACTGTGAGATTGTAGAAGGATGTGATATGAATGAGAAGGGAGAAGATGACTCAAGTTTCATACATGCTGGGAAAGGGTACATACATACCCATGGCAAGGGTACAGTTCACATTTCAGAAATTCACAACTGAGAGAAAAAGCAATACTTTTTATTTTCCTGCTGGACCTTATCACTAGGGTTTGTTGGAGAGTGGTGTTCTGCCAGTTCAGCATTTCTCACTGATGCAACCTCTTCAGGCAGCATGATCAGTTTACACAGAACTGCATGTATAGACACAGCATATATATATGCTCTGTGTACTGCTACGTGGAGAGGAAAACGTGTTCCTGCACCCATGTCATCAAGAGCAGTGTGCCAATGATTCAAAGAAAGGTAGAAAGTGACACTGTAAAACAGGGACAAATCAACTTATTGAGCAATTTAAAAATGTTTTTGATTTAGTATTTCAGTCCTTGTATAGCTTCTTGGGGCCTCCTAATGTTGATAAAATTCGTTTCTGAACCAGCCATATAACTAGACTGGCCTGGACAATGAACAGGTACGTAGCTTGCCTTACCTGAGGTTCCTGTCCCCTCTCAGTGCCAGGCTAAAGATGTTGGAGAGGTTTCCCCCTGGGCAGCAGCCACAGATGAGGATGGCCAGGGATTCTGAGGTGCCCAGCTGGAAGAGCTTGCCCAGTATGAATGCTGTTAAGGGCATGATGCTGTACTGAATCAACACGGCTATTGCCACACCTTTAGGTCTCCTGAGGTGAGTTGTGATCTTGGCTATCTCTATTGTACATCCCAGAGACACCATGATGACCAGGAGGACCACAATAAGGATTATGTTCAGGGCTGTGTCCATAGCCTGCTGGCCAAATGCAAAGGGTGGTGCCAGACTGGTCAGGGAGGTGCTGCTCTGTGTGCAGCCTGGGCTCCAAAGTTTTGGGCTATCAAAAGCTCCCTTGGTCTTGTTCATCCTGCTGAGGGGTTAGGAGGTCTCTTCTTCTGTAAGTGGCTGGGAAGGTGAGGGAAGGATTGATTCAAAAGTCCAAATAACATTAAATTAATGCAAGCAAAACATGAGGTCTTTTTCAGGACACCGCTCTTAGCCTTCAGCACCTGTTGAAACAGAAATCTGCGTTTAGAACAATCAGCTGTGAACCCCATTCGTTTTGGAAATATCCTGTGCAGTTTGTGTATCTTCTGCTCTGGTCCTCCACTTCTTCCAGCATCCACCCTCATAGTGAGACAGCTGGTGAGAGCAAGAGGGAGACAGCTCAAGGTGGATAGAGAAGACAGGTAAAGATGGGCACTTCATACAAAGGAAAATGAACCAGAGCTCCTCTCATTCACAAGATACTGCTGAGGCAAGTACTTGAAAACATGATGTATCCAGGGTACTTTTGTTTTTAATGAGACTATAAAATACTTATACTTCTGACCATAAATAAAGATTTTGATAGCGAGGTCTAGGAAGATATTACTATGTGGATGAGTAATTTCTCCAGTAAATTCTTAGGGGCCTTCATTTCTCTTTTCCTGATGTGTTAAGTCTGACACTGTCTATAAATTTTTGGTTGCATATAGGAATTAATTCTCCAAGCCTTACCAACACTGAAAATATTATTCCCTCCTTGATGCTGAGGGAAGGTTCTTCATGGTAGGTACCTCAACTGACCTCTGCAGAGCAAGGCTGGGCTCAATGGGCACAGCACTGCTGCATTCAGGACCTGGGGTGCTCTGCATTGTGATCCAACCAGGGCTGCAGACATCACACAAACTCTCCAAGCAAAGCCAAAGAGGCAGCTGTTCCCCAGCCCAGACTGGAGCCTGCCCTGTGCTTTCAGTACAAGGCTGCACGGCATGACACACTCAGTGCTCTGGTGTGCAGGGAAGCAGGGCCTGGGCAGCTGGTGCTGGGGCAGGAAGAGGGACTGGAAGAGTGGTTGATCCTCCAGCTTCTGCAAAAGTGACTGCTGCTCATCCTGCCACTGCTCCCTGTCCCTGGCTGTAATGGGGGATGTGCTTCCCTACACCTGCAATGCCCTCAGGTGTTGTACTTCCTGATCCCTCAGCAGGTTTTGCCTTCATTTAAGGCATTTATTGCCTTCAGATTTACCTGAGCCATCCCCTAGGGCAAGGAAGGGACTCTAGAAACAGAGCTGAGCATGTTAAACTAGAGCAAAATGGATGCAGTTACCTTAGTGCTGGTGGATGCAGCTGTAGGAAGCTTTGGCTGATCATCCACTGCTCCGTCCTTTCCTGGCTGGCCTCGGGGAGCGGTCGTACTCTTCAGTCCTCCTGCTTCAAGGAAATCCCCCTTGGTAAAATCCCATCCTCTGCTTGCAGGATATAAAGCCTGGGTCTAAAAGAGCCTCACAGAGAGGGAAGCTGCAGTTCTTTGGTAGTTGTACTAACGGGACTGGGGAAGGGATTTTAACCAGGAGATTTGCTGCACTGTGGCTGAGCTCTAATTCCTTTGCTGAAGGTTATTATGATGCTGCAGTAGCATGTCCATTGCTTCTATTCATCTGGGAGCTCAGCAAGCTCAGCCTCTGCAGCCCTATTGCTCTGGAAACATTGATGGAGGCAGGCAGGAATGTCAGAGCTGTTCTCTGTGTTCCTCCCCACTTGCTCTTGCTTTGGTTGGGAACTTTGTTTTCCAGGCTGGCAGCCAGGCCGGAAAAGCACCAACAACAGTTCAGGAGGCCAGCACAGGCATCCCCATCGGGGGGGGGGGGGAAGGAGCAGTGCCTGTGGCTCTCATTGGCTCTGCACATCATGCCCATGGCTTCTCCTACACCTTTGTGAGCACCATGCTGCCATTCTTGGGGACAAGGGGCCCTCCAGTAAGTCACAGGTGATGCCTTGAGCCCCCTGTGTCACTGTAGTGGCACAGTAGTGCCTCAGCTCGTTGCTGAGCTCTGGCTGAGTGGGTGGGGCTAGGAGGCCTGCAGCACTGTGGGCATATTGATTTTCTGGAGGCATCTGCAAGACTACCAGGCACAAGCAAAGGCTGCCCAAGCAGCAGATGGGCAAGATCCATAAAAATTAAGATAAAGTGCAGGAGCAAAGTCCACAGCAATTCTTTATCTCTATCACTCTCTTCAGGATTTTTTCCCCTGTGCATCTTCAGCCTTCCTAAAGAAATGGTTGTTTTTCACCATGCTTGCCTTTCAGCTGTGTGCTGAATTTTATAAGAAATGCAGAGTCAAGCCAAGCAATAAAGTGCTTATAAAATGCTGCTGCCTCAGCAGCACCTCCTCTTCCTCTAAACTCTGTGTAGCTCAGGTTTTTAAAATTACAATGTTCTAACAGTCTCACCCTTTGCAGGACTGTAGAAGAATGTTTCAATGACTCTAATAATTAAAAAATGCCTGCTAGTTGTTCATTGTTCAAGCATTCCTACTGGTCCCCAGTAGTTAATAGAGGCAATGCCACGGGAGACAAAGAAGACACTGGCTGAAGAAAGCAGAATAAATTAAGATCATTATTTCACTCTGGTTCATGCTTGGACATTTAGTTATTTGACGTGGGCACCAGAGCTGGGAGTTTGCATTTAAGTGTGGCCAAAGAGCTGTATCTCAGCTGCAAAGCTGCTGCTCCCTGCGGCAGGACCCGGGCGGTGGCACGGCCGAGGGATGCTTGGAGGAGGGAGCGTGCCCGCACTGCGAGGGCAGCGGGCCCGTTGCTGACCTGGTGCCCAAGTACCGCCTTGCTCAGGGGATGCTTTCGCCTTGCAGAAGCCGGCTGTTTAACCCCTGTGCAAAGCGTGCCTTTTCCGTACTTCGGCCTCTCCCTGGAAGGGCTCAGCTCCGGGAAGGTGAGCTCGCAGCCGCTCTGACAGCGCTGTCCGCGGTTCCCGTGGAGCCGGGGGTGCTGCCGCAGCGCTGGGAGCCCGGCCGGGTCCCGCCCGGCTGCGCCGCTGGAGGGCAGCGGCCGCATGCCCGGCGCTGGCTGCTGCCGTGGAGGGCATCGCCCAAACACCGCCCGAACACACCGCCCGAACACTGCCCAAACACCGCCCAAACACACCGCCCGAACACCACCCAAACACACCACCTGAACACCACCCGAACACTGCCCGAGCACCGCCCAAACACCGCCTGAACACTGCCCGAACACACCGCCCAAACACTGCCTGAAAACACCGCCCGAACACCTCCCGAACACACCGCCCACACACCGCCCAAACACCGCCCAAACACTGCCCGAACACCGCACGAACACCGCCCGAACACACCGCCTGAACACCGCCCAAACACACCGCCTGAACACACCACCCAAAGGCTGCCCGGGTCGCCTTATGGAGTGAGATACTCCAAATTCACAGGCGGTGGATGCTGTACACCTACAAAAGGCAATTGCACCTTCAGCTGAGGTAAGTGTGCTTATTTTGTATCAAAGCTTATATTTTAAATTACTTCATTCCGTAAGTTGTGTTCAAGTTCTAATGTCATAGCTTTAAACTGCTCAATTAGTGACATGCACTTGTCCTTCTTCCTACATAATGAATATGAAGATTTAATACAGGAGATGGTTAGGAACATGGAAAGCAAGGTGTTTAGGAATAGCCAAGGATTAATGAAAGAGTCCAAGATCCTTATGCATGCACAGAAAGGCTGGTGTGAAAGCCTGACTCCAATAGGACACTCACTGGGGTGTCCTGAGTGAAATGATAAATAAGTATCTGTGTACTCAGCAGCACTTGGATATGGGGACCTGTTTGTTTACAGCATGAGCTCTGTGAGTGCTCAGTGCTGTGGCTATGCCATTGCTTTTTAGTTTGCATTTGTGCACTCCATTTACTTTGTTCCCTTTTTCTTTAGCTTCTACTCGTGAGCGAACCCTGATTCAGTCTGAAGAGGCAGAATGTGCAGAGTTTATGGTCTTCACTTGCAGGGGAAGAGAGCTGGACTTATTTCCTTGCTTAGCATCCTGCCATAAGATGCAGGTAAGCCAATTTCTGCCTCTCTTCCACCACCCTGCAAAAGTCCTGTTACTGCCTGCCTGGACTGAGCTATTGGCTTTTTTGTATGGTGCAGATGTGCCACAAAAATTTCAAGAGGACTGTTGAAAACCCTTTGCTTAATTGTGTACTTTACCCATCTGCCATCTTTGGCAGCTCCTTAGGCCCATGTGGGCTGAGGTCTGTCTAGAACAGCAGCCTCTGGGTGGCTGGATCCTAGTTTGGGTGCCAAACATATTCCTATTCCTCATGAATGTTTTGCTGAGTTTCTGGGCTGGTGGAAATCTTGTGTGTTAGGAACTGCTGTGTTATTGGTATTCCTGTGGTCAGCCCCTGTGCTTGGGGCTTGTCCAGGCACCCAGGCAATGGCAAGCCAAACCCAGCAGTGCAGTGCCTTTGTCTTGCTTTAATTAATTAGAGTAGGACACAATTATTAGCATCGTGCTTTTGTTTCCATTTGTTCGTTCTGACAGCAACCCAAGGAAGCCATTATCTCTGCAAGAGGATGTTTCAGCAAGTGTTATGGTAAATAAAGCTAACAGGATCAGTGCAAAGGAGAGGATCACATTCTCTTAAGGACAGCAATCGATAATCAGGCTGTTACATGCCAAATCCTTTCAAGAGGCATGATAGCGAGTTCACACTCAGATCAGCCTTTAATCTTGGAGGATCACTGCCCTCTTTACTGGCTGATATATTTCCCACAGTCTACCTGCTCTGTAACACAGGTCTCCCTGTAAGACATGCAGCAGTTCTTTCAGAGCCTTTGGACACAAAGAAAATGGCACCCACCTGCCCCTTTAGCCAGGACACTTCTGTATGGATCAGGCTAAAGATGGAAGGCTGGCTCTGGGCTTGACATTGGATAACGTTTCACAGCCTTCCCCGCTCCACGAGCAGCAGCAATGGTGAGCACACCATAGGGTCCTAGAAACTGTGTGCACCTCTGGTCCCTAAGGCAGGGAGAGCAGACTCAGTTTTAACTTTCCTGCAGCTCTTGTAATAATAATAATTAATCTCTTAATAATGCAAGCAACATTATTATTGGAACCAAAATGACACTGAAGACCTGTTCTTCATGCTGACAAATAAAATACTTAAGCAATGTGATGTTGGTTAAAACATTTTAACACTATTTAGTGCAACCCTGGAGAAAAATAATGAGATTTATACTGCAGGGTGTCCATTCTTGAGCTCTCCAGTGTTTCCTATAATCCTCATTTTAGTGTAAGTCTTTTGATCTTTGTTGTTTGGCACAAAGGTGTGGGCATTAGGCGAGCTACTCAATTTTATTTTATAAAAAAAAAAAGAAGTTTTTAGCCCTCAGGGATTTGAAGAAAAGTTTGAAAATGTGATCAAAAGCTTCAGGAAACTGAAGTGAGTGCAAGTAGGAAAAGCTCAAATGTTTATAATTTTCTTTAAAAAACAGAACAAAATGCCTTGCAGTTTTAAAATTGTGATTCTCTGGAGCCTGATGCATAATTTTTGAGTATGTGGGGTTGGCAGTGCTGGAAAGGATGTTTTTCTCTCCCAAGATCATATTTTTCTGCTGGAAATTTTAATTTCCAGCTTTAACTCTTTCTCCAGCTTTTTCTTGGCCAGCCTCTCCTGCAGCTGAGGAATGTCCCCCATCTCTGGAATGGCAGCCAGAGGTGGTGACAGTGGCCAGGATTCCCACAGTGGCAGAGGCTGGGCTGCCCTGCCTGGCAGTGTCTGGCCACGTCCTTCAGACCTGCTGGGCAGCAAAACCTCTCCAAGGTCTTGCAGCCCGCTGTCCTGGTGGGAAGGTCCGGGGAGCTCACCAGGGGCAGGAGCACCCCTTGTACCCCACTCAGTGGCAGCCAGGGTGTGAACAGCTGGGCTTGGAGGATTATCTCCCACCTGCAAAGCTTGCTGTAGGGATGTGATCTTCCCTGAGAAGGGAAGGACATGAAGGACACGAAGGACATGAAGGACAGGGGTTCTTTCCTCCAGGGGCTTGTTTGCATGGCTGGTAACTCCTGTGAGCAGGGCCCCAGTGTGGTCCTGCTCTCAGCAGGGCACAGAAAGGCACGGTGCCTTCCCAGAAATCCTGCAGGGATACAGCCACACTGCTGGGCTCTTCCCTCTGCTTCTCCCTTCCCAAGCCACCTCCCTTGGGCACTGCTCTTTCCTATTTTTAGCAAGCACAGTTGATGTTTTTCAGCACTGGCTTTGCACATCAGCAGCCATTGCACAATGAGCTCTCAGGGGCCATTTATTTCACAAGCAAGGCTCGTACCCTGTGACAGTGTTTTCCATCACCTCCTGAGGAGCACTCTGGGCTCTAGCTGCTTCAAAATGGCAGCTATTGTTCAGTGTCCCATGCCCTGCTTGAAACCAGGCCTCCTCCAGACACGTTTCAATAGCTCTTCTCTGTATTCTATTTATCCCCACGTGCTTTCAGGGGGAGTGGGGAAGGGCTCATTCCTGTTTTAGGGACCCATGCAGCAACATGCTGCAAGCAGCCCCTTTCTCTGCCTCCCAGAGCTAGTCCTAATTTAATCTAGTATGAGCCCCTTGCAAAACTGCAGGATCTGGAGGCTGGCCATGCTCACTTTAACAAGGTCTGTGCTGCATGGGCACGGACTAGCTCATCCTTTACAGAATGATGTCTGCAAACAGGGAAGTTATTATTTGAATTTATATATGAAAAAATAAAAATCAGCCCTCTGGGTGAAGGAGGGCAACAATGAGCAGCACTTTGTTTTACAGCTAGAGGGTGACTGTGGAGGCTGGGGGAGAAATATATTACCTTTGGTAAGGGAGTTGGCAAGACAAGTAGAAAACTTCAGAGGCTACAGAATAGCTGGGCAAAGTCCAGATGCCCTCCCTCACCGTCTGGGCTTGGGTACTCTGTATGTTAATATGGTGCATCCATATTAACATTGTATATCCATCTTTTCCCACAAAAATATCTTATTACATAGAGCTTGTTTCTCCACCCCTCTACTGTAAGCACCTGTGGGTCCTGTGGAACCAACCTGAGCTAACCCATGCCACCTCCAACTAATCTTTCAGGGCTCTGACTGTTTCCACAGTTTCCCAGCTGGCTGAGCCCTTCCAAATTGTCAGCCTGATGCCACCCACACTGATTTATATTCCCTGAGAAATAAAGTTTCAACAATTTCAATTACAAGAGACCTTGAAGCCATAAATGTCTCCAAAGTTGTGATGAATGCCATGCTCTAGGACCACAATAATCCTGCCTCCCTAAATTTTTCCCATTGTATTTTCCTGAATTTACCTGCATCTGATGCTCAGTTGGAATGATGTATTCTATTCCATACGTACTTCTGGCATGTGCACATCTGCATGGCACACTATCTGCTTCCCCTGACATGATGCCCACACTTCTAGATTATACAGGACTCCTCTCTCCCACTAAGGCTTCTCCCTAGACAAATGCGTCTTTTGGCTTGTCCTGTTCCTCCCTATATTTGCTTATCCACTTTGAAAATAAGCTCTCCATAACCCAGAATGTTATTCATGTTTGTTTTGGGCTGGTTCAGGGTTTTGCTAGCAAAGAGGGCACAATTCTTGCAGGTTCTTAGGACAATGTGCTTTATTTCAGGCACAAACAAACCCGTTGCACATAGCATGTGCAGAGCTGCATTCACCCACAGAGGTATATAAAGGGTAATGATAATGTTGCCCAGAAGGCTAACACATCAAAGGGCAAGGAGCAGTTAAAATGTATTATGAGCTGTTGGCAGTGATTGTGGGGGGTATTCGTGTGTTGCTGATTTGGACGGCCTGAGTAAATGAAAACCCTCTGGATTAATTGGTACACCAAAGAGGTTTGGAGGAAAATGGAGGCTAATGTAAAATGACAAACAAGGGAAAACACAGATAGCTGGGTGTGCTGACTTGCTGTGGGGCACTGCTGATTAACTTGCAGCTCCCTACTGTACCCTGGAAAGCCAGGCAGAGCTGGGGGTGCCCTGCCAGCAGCTCACCCAGCACTTTGGTGGGAGCGGACCCAGCCCCACAGGCAGCATCTGCAGTGCTGCTGTTCCAGCACAGCCAAGTGGGTAGTTAGAGGTGAGACTTACCAGGTGTCTTGTGACACCTGGACACCGCGGGACAAGAGTTTAATTACTTTTAATGATGTGGGGTGCTGGAGGAGGGAGAGGAAGCTGTGTGGTGACTGGTGTCACAGGGTAACTGAAGCTGGGAACTTCAAAACTGATTAGCACGGAATCTGCTGGCTGAATCAGGTGACAACCAGAATTGAATGATACACTCCCATCTGTAGCCAGGATACCCACATTCCAGCTACTATCCTGTGGTTTATTATTGACACTTCAATTTTACATAAATGGCATCTAAGTGGCAGCCATACAAACTGCAATCCTAGCAGCTCAGTCACAAGCTAATTGAGCAGCTGGAGCAGGAGCACTGAGCACAGCACCAGGTAAGTCATGCCCTTGCAGACAGCCTGCCTAGTGGCTTGGGCAGGTATCCTCATGCTGAAGACAGTGGTCAGCTGGGGGTCTTTCATACGTCCACACTGGGGCTGCAAAAAAGGGTCCCTGTCTTCTTTCTGATCAGCAGCTGTGTTCACCAAGAGGTTTCTAAAAGAATCGTGCCAAAGCCAACCTGCCACAACTTGTGTTGGTAATCAGTGGTCTCTCATCTGGACATCACATGGCTCATCCTGCCAAGTACTTCCTCTGTCTTGTCATGGTCTGACCTACCCATCACTGACTCTGGTAGAGACACTTTTTTACTGCTAGTCTTGACTGGACACCTCCAGTTTGGGTGGTTTTCGGTTCTGTTCTACCAGCTCCTCCTGCAGCTCAGGAGATTGTTTCATTCCTGTACTCGACTCCACACCTTGCAGATTTCTCTTTTGCAGACTTGAGGAATCCTTGTCACGGGAAGAAAAGCACAGAAGGTGATATGCCTCTGGTCACCTGGTGATTGACAAGGTCTCTTTCTTCTCTCATTATCATTTCAGGGCATGGAAGAGGCTGCTCTAACTGGTACATGGAAGAAAGAGGCTGCTCTAACTGGTAAGTTCTCCCAACCATGTGCTCTTCTGGCAGCTGTGTGGGTGTGATGGGAATTGAAGGTAAAAACATGATTCCAGAGGGGTCTTTCTCTGTCCTTTTCCTAAATATAGTTATAAGAAAACTGGACAAGTAAAGTTAGCAGAAAGTCAGAGAAGGAAAGCATGCTGCTTTATGCACAGGTAGGATTGTTCCTCTCCCCAAGACCTTGACCCAAGCCTGGCAGGCTCCTGTCTTGTCTCCTGGCTCATTGTGACAGATTATTTAAAACATGACCCAGCTCTGCAGCCTCTGTCACTACCCATCCCACTGTCCTTCTGCTGGCAATCTCCTCTTCTCTAGGTGTCACAGGAAAAAAATCTTGCCTATCTTGCCTTCTGCTTGTGTCTGGGGGCATCATAGCAGGGTGGGAGAACACATTTTTAATATAGTGAGGCCATGGGAATGAGCATCACCAACTTTTTTTCTGACACAATTCTGAAAAATTCCTTGCTTTTTCTATAAATCCAAAACATATATAAATAATCTGTTTTCAGTCTTGAAGCTGAAGGCAAGCATCTATTTTTAAAGCAAATAGCATTGTAATTTATAATGTTAAACTGAAATTTTTGAAGTGCTCTCATCCTTGGAAAAAAGAGAACACTTCATTTTTTGGTGACTAATGATAAAGTGTTTTCTAAAGGTGACTGAGCAGAGTACAAAAAGTCCCAAATATATTTATTAGCTTATCAAAAATAATTAATTGAATTTGGTAGCTAATGGCTGTGACTTTGCAAGTGAAAAGCACTTTTGGTTAGCTAGACAGTTTCTTATCGAAGAACAAAAATCCAACATTAAAACATATGCAGCTTACTGAATGATCATGTTATTTGTCAGAGGAGCAGAAGTATCACCACTGAAGTACTCCCAAATGCCAAATTTGGTAATATAGATAATTACACCCCATTTGATTAGATATGTACCCATGGTAACAGCCACACTCAAGATCCATATATTAGTACAGTCTTGAAGTAATTTTCAAGGGGGACAATGGCAACATCTGAAGCTTCCCTGAGGAGACTTTTGGAACATAACCTACACACCAATTTTCTCTGTTCCTGTGGTTATTCTTTATCTTATTATCTTCTATTTTTAAAGCAGTGCATTCCTTGGTTCTCAAAGGGGATACACAGCTTTCTCAAAATGTCAGTGCACTTCTGTCCCTACAAGGAAGATCTCTTACTCATCTTCATCGTATAAAGCCTAAAACCTTCCTATATTTAGGGATGAAACCCAGCAATTGGCAAGGCTGCTGCAAGCTGTTTCTAGGAGGTGGCAACAATCATCACCTGGAAGGCAGCCCCATCTCAGCCACTCTCCTCTTGCAGCCCAGGACTGCCCTGTGATGGATAAAGTCTCCTCCATGTTCGTTTAGGCTTTTGCAGAAGCCTTATGAAGAAACTGCAACGTCTCAGCGAGAAACAGATTTTGCATCAGATACAAGCCTCAGAGAGCCTGTAAGCCCTGAGCTAGTGCCAGCCCACAGGGAATGAGTCCAGAGGGTACTGTTTGAGCAGCCATGGAACACAAGAGAGTTTCTAGCTGTAGATGCAATATGAATTGTCCCTGCAGTTTATTTTTACATGTTTAGAGGGTGAATAAGATTGGAAGTGTAGGAGAGAATCAGAGAATTAGCAGAATGAATTATTATTATGCATTATTTATAGAGAAAGAGAGAAATCTATCCCCTGGTGCAACACTATATGTCCAGGGATGATGGTAGTTGCTGCTTGTGCAGAAATGCCAGCTGGGAAATATTTAAAAAAAGGTTTTTTCCCTCAGTAAGGAAGACACCAAGATACAGAAAATTCCCCGAGCTGAAGGTACCAGGGAAAGATTCCTATAGCAGGGAAACTGAAGAAACAGGTGCTGAGAGTCTGACAGGAGAGGAGCATAGAGTCTCAGTCCCGGCCAGCTTGGTCGAGAGGGCTAAGGTGTATGTGGTTAACCTGGTCATGTCAGCTATCCCAGCAGTGCAAGAGAACTGCAGTGGAACCCTTACAGTATCCTCAGCTTATAGGAACAAGACAGGACTTTGCACCAGGGGACTCTGAAGATACATCATGGAGAGGAAGTCAACACTGAAAGACTGTGAAAAATAAATGTACAAAGATATTTTAGAATGTCTTTAGCTTTTTGGAAAAAGAAGGCTATCCTAAGCAAATGGGGAAAAGAACAGCTAAAAAGCTTTGGTGGGCAGAGAGGGAGCACAGGGGAAGATTTTATTCCCTGGTTTAGCTGTTACTTGGCACAGAGAACTCCTGGGAGCACTTTCTCTAAGGGGCCAGTGACACAGCCAGCCATATTTGTAGCCCTCAGCTGGATAGCAAGAACACTGTAGGAGTGTCCATAAAAAGTCATCAAACTGTTACTGGATGCAGCATTAGGATTACACTTGCTGAGGTGAAAGGAGATACATGGATCCACCTTGGGCATGCAGTGCATGATTAGGAGCATGTCATCTTTCTTCACATTAGCATGTTCTTAATTATGCTTAGAAGAGAGGATCCTCAGCAATATAAATTAACATCACAGGCTAAATTATACTGAAGCTGTGAAATTCCTACACCCTTCCCTCTTTTTTTAAGTACACGCTGTTTTTAACACTTGTTCCCAAAACAGGGGATTATTCAAACTAGTTTCTTGTTATTCACACCAGCACCAAACTATGAGGTCTGCAACGAGTCAAACCAAACCCTGGGTCCGCCCTGGAGGAGGGCAGGAGGGCTCTAAACTGGGTTGTGTGTGAACCTTGTGGTGATGGTAGAGATGGCTGTGCCAGCCCTGGTTTAAGGTACCCTGTGGACAGCCACGACCTGTGTTTGACAGTGCACTTGTGCTGGATATTCCCAGGCATGTGGGACCTCCTGCAGACGGAAGGGCATTCTCTGGTTATGGGGCTGGAGGCCTGGCAGCTCTTTGGTGGTGAAACCAGCCCTAGGAGGGTCCTGGAGGTGCCACTGACAGGCACGGTCGATGTGCTGTGTGTGGGAGCGGCAGTGATTACACACACACTCATGTATAGGCAGTATTGGTCCCTCCTGTGATAAATGGCTCTAACTACAGCTTTGTGAAATTCTGAATTTCTGTTTTTCAGAACAGAACAAACTGGGGCAAAAATTAGGAAAAATTGTTTCCTGGAATTATAACAGTCATGTTCAGAAATGTTTCCCTGTTCTGTTTTGACATTTTTTTTGGATCAAAGTGAAGCATTTTGACATTTCTGAGGTAGGAATGTTTTGTTTCAATTTGTTGAACTGACATGAAATGTTTAGTTTCAAGTCTGCTTAACATTAAAATAGGCAGTGCCTTTCCTTGGGTTTGGGTCCCATTCTCTCCTCTGGGCTGTGCTCCCTGGGAGCTCTGCCCGGCTCCCATAAAGCTTGGGCAAGGTCCACGTTGTTCTCAGTGAGTGCTCAGCCACAAGCCCCAAGCACAGGAAAAAAAAAAGAAAAAAAAAAAAAAAAAAAAAAGGCCTTTTTGGGAAAGTTCCTTTCCATGCTGAACTCAGCTGAGATGAAAAAACTTGTGGCAGTTGAAGCAAAGCGCTTGGTTCCAGTTCACTGTGACAAACCATTGTTTGTAGTCAGCAGCATCCCTGTCTTCCCATAGGCACTTTCTGAGCTGCAGAAAATGTTTTCTGATTAAAAAAGATGTCCCAGTGAGTTCCCACTAGGTGTTGATGTGATTACACCAATAAGCTCCGGAAGATTTGCAGGCTGGACCCTTGGATGTAGTGGAGGAGCTGCCCTTTGGTGTTGGTTGAGCAGATTGCCCAACAAAATAAAGACCCTAAAGATCCCATTTGCCTGCTTGGGGGCTGGCTGGAGCTGGGGCAGCCTCTGGTTCAGCTGTCCCCAAGGGAGGTGAGAAGGCTGCAATAGGGACAGGAGTATATCCTGGGAATTCAGCGGACTCTGCTCCATTCTGCAGGTGGCTCTAAGGTCTTCCTGGGATTTTTGATGAAATTTATGTCAGAGTCAGTTCAGAAGTTGCTTTGGTTCATTCTCAACAGCTCTTTATGGCATGAAGCAGATCCTATTACTTACTGTGAGGGATAATTGAGCTCCTTGCCCTCCCCCTTTCCTGGGCAACAGCTTCAAAAGATCTCTGATTTTGCTCACCAATCAAGCAATCTCATTTGCAAAACAACTGCAAGGGCCCTGCAAAAGCAGAAGGACAGCTCCTTTGTTAAAGAGTGCCTTTTGGTGACACAAAGGAATCATAAAGGTGATGGAGCTGCAGACTGGACAGCCACATTTCCTGGACTGTGCAGGCTGGCCTCCCTCCCCTTCCCAGCTGAAATTTCAGATCCTGAGTCTAAGGATTATGCAAGGCTCGAGCCCAGTGAGAACAAGATGCACTGCAACTATTCTTAGCTCCAAAAATTATTCCTGGCTTTGCTTTGAAATCTGAACCAGGGTTAATTTCTCTCCCCCTTCCCCCGGTCTGTTTCCTCTCCTCTTTCATGTACCTATTTGCATAGACTGTCATCGTTAGAATTTCCATTAAAATTGAAAGCCTCCTTCCTGCATGTCACCTCTCACAGCCCCCTTCCGCTTGCCCTGCGTGACTTTTGGAGGGCTGGAGAGCAAAGGTCCTGTGCTAGCATTGCCTCCCGAGCCCTGCCTTCCCCCTGCCCTCAGTCCTGCTCCTCCATTGCTATAGGAACATCCATCAACTTGGGAGTGCCAGAGAAAAAGAACAGAGAGCTTTCTTAATTATTTAATGATTGATTAATATATGTTTATAGAGCACTTCAAAACAGTGCATAATTTTGTGAATTGTTTATTAACAGGGCAAGTGGAATAATTTGCTGAACATCCTCCACTCTCATTGTTTCAATGGAAGGAAAGGGTGGTAGGCAGCTTGCAGGTTTTGTAACAGTTATATTGCTAAGAACAGTAGTAGTTCTGCTTCAGGAAAATAATTTAAGAGCCTTCACCTCAAGTTTTCAGAGGCAGGGCTGCTCTCTCAACACCTGCCACTAAGGTTACTCAAACCTCCATTATAAAGACCTATGTTTAGCTGTTCTTTGGTAAGTTTCACCCACCTGGAAAGAAGGATTGAGCTTACTTCTAAAGGCTGAATAAAAAGAGGCAGCGAGTGCTTGCAGCTGAGGGTGAAGCATGGCTGGCTGGTATGGGAACCTCAGCTGCCCCACTCTGCTGGGTGATGGTGTATTTGCCAGAAGGCCACAGAGGCCTTTTGATAAAATTTCTGTGCCTGTAGTATCAGGCTGGAAGAACTGTGTAAGCAGGCTGATGAGGAAGGATGGGACGAGGAGCGTGGTGCTGGTGTTGTGGTGTACTGCTGTGTTCTCACATCCAGCTGGAGCTGCCAGCTAGACTGATATCTGTTGCCCATGCTGGTTGTAAATCCTGAGCCCTACCCAGCCTGACCTGGGTAACCTGCTGAAGCCAGCCTGCCTGTGCTCTCTCCAGCCCCCAGGGTCTTTTTCAAGTCTAACTTTCCCCGATGCCTGACTGCTCTCTGGCTTCTTCCCTCTCCTGTTAACAACCTGTGACTCCTGCACAGAGGGATGCAAGGTAAGCGCAGACTGGCCACCTGAAGAGCTCTGTGCCACCAGGTCTGGGAGAGGCTGGGACACGCAACACACACTGCCACGCATGCTTGAGAACTAAGACTTGCGGTCAGCATGATTTTGGTGTGAGCTGTCATGCACCTTGGAGACCTGTAGGGCTGGTACACCCTCGGTGTCAAGCCTGACGGTCCTTGAAGGTGAGGCAGGATAATGCAGGCAGCTGGTGAAAGCTGGTGCTCCCTGCCCAACTCAGCCAACTCCTTACCTGAACAAGGCCTGCAAGACCATGGCTGCTGTGGTGGAGGATGGCTGGGAGGGTAATAACTCTAGCTGGTGCTCTCAGAGGGGCCCTTTTGCCCAGGTGCTTGGTGTGAAGCACTGAAGACCTGTGATGCCATGGGATAGGTGTTGATCACATGTGTGATGTGTACAGCTCCCTAGTTTTTAAGAGGAAGTACAGAATGAATAAGGAATGAATAAGGAGGCTTGCTAAATGAAACAAATTTGTCCTGGATTCACATTGGTATCTAGGAAGTATTAAAATCTTGTTAATTTTAAGGACTATTGGACTTCTCAGCCCCTGTGAATCCATCTTCTGTACAGCAATCACCCCATAAAGGTGCCTTCACATGTGGCAGCTGCCCTTCAGGTTTTTTATGGAGTTTAATTATGGATTGTTGCAGAAAGGTCTCTGCTCCACCTGAAGAAAACAGTAGCAGCATTAGGTTGTTATTCTGTAGTAGTTCAGCACTAGAGGGGGATGTAGCACATGCTTTACATCCAGCAGGTTTCCTATGTACATGCAACAATATTTTACATTGGTGTTTGGGAGGAGGCTGTTTCTTGAATTGCCAACATAAAGATTTATCTTGAAGGTGCAATTTTCTTGCATAGGATAAAAATCAGAGAGGTTGCTATTTGCCAAGCCTTAAAAGACTGTGCTTGTAGTCAATTAATTTTGTTATGTTTCATGTGTTCATTGGATATTGGGACCTCAGAACTTCCTTAAGGCGATTTTCAGGTGGTTTGGGGTTTTTTGGGGTTTTTTGTTTGTTTGGGGCTTTTTTTGTTGGGTTGTTTTGTTTTTGGTTTTTTTTTTTTTTTTGGTTGTTGGGTGTTTTTTTTGGGGGGGGGTTGTTTGTTTGTTTGGGTTTTGTTTTGCTTTTTGGTTTGGGGTTTATTTTCGTGTATGGCTGATATGTGCAAACAGAGGCTGCTCTGTAGTTTGGCTATAGCTCTAATCCAGGCTGCTGGCTGGAAAGGTCTGAGCTCTGCCCTTCTTACCAAGGGGACACTTCATATGCTGTGCTGTGGGACTGCAGTCTATTGTGGTAGTGAGTCCTGCAAGTAGCTGAACAAAGATGTAAAACCAAATCCACCCAGCTCCATTTGCTTGGAAAGTTGCACATTTCTGTTTTCAGCAAAAATGGCTCTTCAACTTTGAAGAGGTCCCAGTAATAAAAACCAGTTGTCCACTTCATGCATGAGCAAAATACTTGGCAAAAAGAGCTGCTGCCTTGAGGTTTTGCAGAAGCTGGTCAAATTCCTGTCTTCTTGTTTTCCTTCTCATCTCCAGTGAGCAATTCTTATTCCATGTTTTGCGCAACAATGCAGGAGTGTGCCAGTGTGAGGAGGTGACTCGCTAGCCTGTTAGCCAGGAAATTTCTCTGTGTGCCTTTGGATATGATACTTTGTGAGAAGAGCAACCAGGCTGGAGTATGCCATGTATATGCACAAACTGGCTATAGTAGAAGGTGAGAATGTCAACTGCTGAAGAAAACCTATATTCAGGCCAGTGGCTAAAGACACTCACAGATCCAAATTCTGGCAGTTTGCTCTATGCGAGATCACCATGTGTGCCCCCATGCCCTCCTCTCCTTTCTCCTGCTTGTACCCTGGAATTGCATGCGGCTGTGGTTCCCACCTCGCACTGAGAGAAATGTCGGCTAGCCAGAAAAGATGTCCCCATTCACGTTTCCACACAGAAACTTTTCTTTCCCTACTTTTAGTGCCTGTAATTACTTCTTTACTCCAGTGCCAGCAATCTTCCATCAGGCATCGTTATTAATGGAGAGAAAAGAGAAGGGAAGGGAGGCAGAGAAAGAGAGAGAGTGCCACAAAACTTAATTTAATCGCAGCACCCCATGCTCAATTTAACAGACACAACAGCTCAGAATGGGGTCCCTGTGCAACGGGAGGGCAGGCAGTGGAGCGTCCCTGGAAAGAATTAATTGTGGATGACAATGTGTAAACAGTGCAGATGAATAGGGCATGCAGGTGTGAGGCACCGGGGCCATCCCAGGGACTTTTTCACACGAATTTCAGCTCCTTCACTGCTGACCTGCTCCCGAAAACGTGATTAGTGTCGGCGTTGGGAAACCATTCAGGGTGTCAGGATTTGGCACATATTAACTAGCCCGGGGAAGAGGGGAGGGGAGCACATGGGGGCTATGAAAGGAGGAAGTCTGGCGGACAAGGGGATTGTTAAAGGGCCAGAAAATCCTCATTGCTCTGAGGTGCCCTTGCTGCTTGGAGGAAAATGGAAGGGAGCCGAAGCAGAATAGAGCTCCAAGGCACTCTAGCCCTTACTGAGCTATGTGGAAAACAAGATAATGCATTGTGGAATACTTTTCTTTGAGTGTCCGTCATAAATATTAGTGATGTTTGTATTAATGACTTTTCTTGGCTGTGGCTTTCCCAGTTCTAGACACTTCAGCTTGTGAGACAAACAGTCAAAACAAGCAGGAAAGCTAATGACACAACAGTGCTGAGAATAGGAAATATCTCCTGGGTATCATATAGAGGTTGTTCAGAGGGCAAAAATGCAGCTTCATAATTATGTACTCTATATGTACAGTGATACAGACAGGGGGTTGTACAATGGACCCAATTTACCAAGCCTGAGGTCAGATGTTCTTAAATTATGTTCCCTGTGCCAGCCTGGCTTTCTGCATCCAAGCAGGGGAGTTACATGCAGAGAATAGACAAGGTTACTGATATCTTTTCCTACTTGTAAGAGTGATGCAAGGGGAAGGATGGAGCTTGATGAGGACTACCATAAATACCAGTGCCTCTGCTGGATTCTATTATGCTCTTTCTTACTTGCTGTAAATCCTTTCCTTGCCTGTCTTGTTACTTGGGCAGCATAGCAGGAGTGCTGTGTAGGTGCCTGCTGAGATTCACAGCTTTGAGCTCCCTAGACCACTGCAGCCCAAAGACTTGGGTCTCACATAATATAACAAAAATAAAAGTTACTCTAATTGCAAACATACTTGTGGATGTGAAGGTGAGGTTGGATTCTTGCTGCCCTAGTGATGAAAAAGAGCACACCATTGGTGCTGGTTTGGCAGTGCAGACACCTGTGTGGGTGGCAAAGTGGATCAGCCCCTTCCTCGGCTATTTCAGCTTGAAGAGATGGAATAGGGGCTGGGGGGGTGGGGGCATGAAATATCATCACAGAAACCAGGAAGGCAAGTGTAGAAATCCCACCTCAAATTCAGAATTGTACTTAGCAGTTAGTCACTGTTGGAAAATTACCTGCTTATGTTGCTTAGTAACTCACAATTATATGACAGACTAGCTCATCATCCTTTTTAGAAAAGGCTGATGGTGGCCATTGCTGCCTCCAAGGCATATTGTGGGGCTGAAGGAACACAGAACTTCTGTGTTTGGGTCATGGAAGTTGTGTCTTTAGTCCTGATTGTGGCAATTGGAGATGATTTCCATGGTAAATCTCTGGAAAATAGCAATGGCTATTGGGAAAGATACTCCTTAAACACTAAAGTAACCTGGAAATGCATGTATGCTCAGTTAAATTGTTGGCAGAAGGGTAGAATTTGATTGCTGTTAAGCCCAGTGATATCTAGATTAATAAGAAATAATGGCACAGGCTTTATGCAGTACAAGCCTACAAAAAGGCCATGTTGAGTTGTGTTAGTTCAGGCATGGAGGAGATGGGGCTAAGGGAAGGTCAGTAATTTGCAAGCAGTGGAAATGGGACAGCTGAAGAAAGTGAGGGTGTGTGTCCCCAGCCAGTTGCATTAAGACCATAGCTCTAGTCTGAAATATTACAGAATCCTCACACCAGGTGTTTAACACGGTGCTGCATGTGAAATATGCTCCTGTGGTAACAAATTGCCCTTTCCAGTGAGGATGTCCAATTAGTGCAGAGGTTCTCAGGCTTCATGAGAAATCAGGGCAATGAGAGAAGTTCAGAAGCCACACAGGGATGTACCCCTTATCAAGGTAGTTCTACTTTTGCCAGTAGTGTCAGGCACGGGGTCTGGGCCTGTGATGAGGAAGGGGCTGGGCTCCGGGCACTGTGATCTTTGTAAAGGTGCTGGTTGGGTTGTGGTGCAGGTGGGAGGATCTGCTGCCTGTCTGGGCTGCAGGAACTCTTGAACACAAGCTTGTTATGACTGAGTTGAGTGATGGATTTACCCACAGAAATCTGAACTGTTTACATTAGAATTCCTGATGCTAGACCCAAGTTATTGTGCAGTTCATGTTGCTCTTCTTAGTGCTTTTTCCTCACATCAGGTGCACTTTTTCAGACCTGTCAGCTTATTGATCAAGCCTAAACCCTCAAACCTCCTGAGTCATGACTTCGGAGCCATCCCACTGGTTAACCAGGCGAAGAGCTCTGATCTAAAAGCAGATGTAGCTACAAACCAGCTGGTTGCCTGACTTTTCTTTTTAATGTGAGAATGTAG